GAGGGACAGTTCAACGCTGGATTTGCTAGCTGTCTGAAGATAAAGAATGGATCCGTACCAACTATCCGTGATCCTACTACAAACGTGGCATCTGTAAGTGTGAACGTTTTATTTTGACTTACTGTTTAGCCTAAATTCCCCCTGGTGCCTCAGCACGGCCACCACGCTTTGATAAACACACTGGATCTGCGCCGGTTTATTGGATCCTCCCGTATTTTAGCCACTCGCTTCTTCCCCCGACAACTCCGCCGGAGGGGGGACGAAATCCCCCTCCGGAGCAGCATGTAGCTTTAGCATTCACCCGTGCGGCGACGCGCCTCTTTTGGCTCAAATACGGGACGTCCCGGCTAATGCTGGATGGTTGGCCACCTATTAATTAGCAAAGGCTTCAGAGAAGTCTTAGAGCACCAAAATCTTACATTGTAGCAGAGCTCTGGTTGCAATTTTTTCTACATTCATATCTTCCTCCTTAAGCGTGACCCTCCTGGCGGCTTTGAATAATACATAGCATGTGTCGACTAGGTCGCTTCAAGTCGCGTTTGGTCTGAACGTGGCTAAGAGTTTCTTCGGGAGCCTCTCCCTCTGGGTCAGACTCTGGCTCAAACTGGTAGGGTTGTACGAGCGATCTTCTTGCAGCCATGACCGACCCAGTGTAAACATTAGCACATGGCTATTGGAGCACAGCCACAGCCCCTTCCAGAGAGATGGGTGTAAAGTGGACGTGGCTTAGGTGCAGCGCAGAGACATGGCCCAAAACGGAGGATTTTGAGCGGAGCTGTTTTTAGCTGATAAAAAGAGCTCTAAAATAACTGATCCAAATCGAATTTTGACCGAAGGATGTAACAGACATGCTTTTAACACACCATGGGACTATTTTAAGTTGTGTGAAATTGGCATGCCATGGGACCTTTAAAGAAAAATCAATTCAAGGCTTAAACTTGAATTGCTATGCGCACAAAAAGTTGAAGTTTCAAAACTTGAACTACAACGATGTTAAAGAAAAATCAACGTGAATCAACAGCTAAGAGAAAACAAAGAAAGAGGGCTAAGCAGTAGAGACAATAGCACAAGAGGAATGAGAGTGTGTAAGAGGAAAGAGCAACCCCACTTTACTGGTTTTATCCTCTCACACTGGGACTGTCTCTGGTGTGTGTGTGAGGAGAAAGAGGAGGTGTTGTGGGGTCTCCAAGCAGAGGAGACCTCGGATGTCTGATTATTTGATCTAACTTGTACTTTTGGCTGGTAAAAGAGTCAGATCTGATACTCACTCACTATGATTAATATCATTCAATGCTTTGTTTCATGATAAATAATTTGATACTAAACACATATGAATGAAATGTAGGATCACATCAAACATTCTCATTATGTATCACATTGAACATGCTAAATTACTGTGAAATGAAACAGATAGCAACATATAGAAACTGTGAACAACAAAAAGAGTTAACACATGTGAATGAACTTCATCATGATTAATAATGGATTCTAAATACTCACATTCCGATTATTCAATGACATTATAACCATCTAATGGTTAAAAATACTAAATAAATGACTAAAATATAAACCAAACATTCCTTAACTATTTCTGTTACTTAGAGTAAAGTTATGATTCATACTCAACAAATTTAACTTTTAAAAGTTCATGAAGTAGTCTGAAAAGCTGTTGGTCTAAAGAAATTAAAGAATAAGGATTTATCCTGTCAGAGTGATAACTTGGCTTCTGGAGCACATAGAAAAATGAGACACATCTCATTTTAACACAAATTTCATGATTAGACAGATGAGTACATTGCTGAATGCATAAGATGTCATGATCAGTCAATTGTATTCTTTCACCAAAGGTTTGCAGTTTTTATCAGTACATGGTTGAACATGGTTGATCATGGTTTGACGACCGAGGTCTGGAGGTCAGTGTCCTGTTCCTCAGACCTTATCTTGGGGTCCGTATGTTCACACACTTTAAGAGGTAAATCTCAAATGGGAGACCATGATTGAGGCACTAATGTTTATTTAATAAACAGGTAATAACAGGTAATAAGGTAATAAAAACTTTGTCTCTGTTCTCCAAATTGACCAATCATGAAGAACCAGAGATTTCAGTCAACCTCTGGTGGGGTCAGTTAGGTAACCTGAAGGGGCAAACAAGTCTGGAAAGATTTATACTATCCTGTGTCCTGAGACCAGATAAAAAAAAACTTTCCTGCGAGGAATGTGTGAGTTTCACCCACAGGGTTGTCTTGATTGCTACATAAACTTTGCAGCCACTTCTTAGGTAAAATAGCGTTTCCTGACAGTTCGCACCAAGGTCTCCCACTGAATAAAACTGGTGATATTAAAAAACATACAATAATGGTCTGACACAGCCAGGTCAACAACAGAGGACACACTGGCTGACAGGCCATAGCTGAGGACTAGATCCAAAGTGTGTCCTCTGTTGTGAGTCTGCTGTGTGACATGTTGTTTAAAATCCAAGCAACTCAGTAAATTTAAAAACTCTTTTGCCATGGAGTCAGATGGATCGTCCATGTGTAAATTAAAATCACCAGATATAATAATAAAATTGTAAGTGGCATGGATTATTGCTAAAAAATTAGAAAATTCACTAATAAAAACAGTATCATGTTTTGGTGGTCTGTAAACAGTTATACCAAGAATTGAGGGACTGTTAAAAACAATCGCATGATGCTCAAAGGTGATGTACTGATCAAATTATATTTCTTTGGTCTTAAGTGCGTTATTGATTATTAATGCAGTACCAACACCTTTCCTGCCACTTCTAAGAGAGAACGTAAAGTTAAAATTAGGTGGGAAGGCCTCAATGAGAATACCTGGCGGGTCTGTACCCAGCCAGGTTTCAATTAAAAACAGACAATCAACCTTGTTGTCTAAAATCAGGTCATGACAATAAAAGATTTGTTTAAAAGAGAGTGACTATTTAAAAGTGCTATATTGATGGTGGTCAGTGATGCACAGATTGTATGGTTGGGCTGTTTGGGGGGAGGTCTGAGGTTATTGAAGTTTACAAAGTGAACATGATAGAGTATGGTTTTCTCTCACTGTGTGATGATAACAGGAATGGGTGAATGGTGAAAACAGAGGGTTCAAATCCAGTATTGTGTGTGTCAGAAGTGGAACTAAAATTATAGGAACTGGGACCTGGGGGATAACCTAACCCTGCTTTAAACTTCACAACTTTTTCCCTGACCTGTCTGGTAAGTTCCTTGGCCTTCATGATGCTCTTTGTTGATTAGTGTTCTCTAACAAGGCACTGAGGCCTTCACAGAACAGTTGTATTATGCTGATACTAAATTACACACAGGTGGACTCTATTAACTAATTAGGTGACTTCTGAAGGCAATTGATTGCACTGCATTTTACTTGAGGTATCAGAGTACAGGGGGGCTGAATTCAAATGCATACCACACTTTTCAGATTTTTATTTGTTTAGATTTTTGAAAATCATGTATCATTTTCATTCCACTTAACAATTATGTGCTACTTTGTGTTGGTCCGTGAAAAAAATCTCAATAAAATACTTTTATATTTGTGGTTGTAGAGTGAAAAAATGTGAAAAAGTTCAAGGGGTATGAATGCTTTTTCAAGGCACTGTACAACTGACTGAGAGGACTTATTGTTTGGATATTATTTTCCAATAAATCTGTTAAATTTTATCTTATGTGTCATCTTTTATGCTCCATTACTACTGCTGACTCTGTTGTGACAAAACTTGTTCAAGTCTTTGCTGCTGTGATTGGTAATGATAATGATAATTTACTAGTCTGATAGTAAATTGCCGGGGAGTCAGAACGAGCACAAGCTTCTGTTTGTGGGCAGGGCCTGCTTGGAGCACCGAGGGAGGGGAGAGGAGGAGCTGAGGGGAAAACTGGTGGGGAAGGGTAGTGTTTGCATTCAAAATTTCTCCCAAAACCTGCCACTTCTGAGATCCTGCCAACCCCAGCTTTGAAGAATGAGAATTTAGATCAGGGAGTTAAGAGAAAAATCTATTATAAACTGTATGTGATCAACATTGGCATAGACATTGGCTAGAAGCACTGGCTTGTAATGTTGGAGAACTCAAAAGGAACATTTCTGTCAACAAGGATAGTTGCACCCCCAGCCTTTCCTTAAAAGTTAGAATGGAATAACTATCCTGCCCAGCATTTACCTAAACGCCACTGTTTTGTAAATGGGTTTCCTGACGAAAGGCTACCCCAGCCCGGAGCTGCTGTAGGTGTAAAAAAAGCATTGTTTCTTTTCACTGGGTGGTTCAATCCCTTAACCTTCTAGCTAATTAAGGTAAGATTCATCTATCATACTTCTGAGATGTCTCCCACTGAAATGCTAGCAGCACTACTAGCGCTAGCTGCAGAGTTCTCTGATGCTGTATTTCTTGGGTTGGTCCCCAGAATTTGACATAGTTATGCCATAGTATTAGTGCTATTCACGATTTGACTCAGTCGCTCAACACTGTAATGAGAAAAGTAGGGTTCAAAATGGAAAATGAAAAAGTTAGAAGCGAGAGCTAGAGAACCACAAATCTACTCCATGCTCAGCAAACCAGAGGTCCCTTACATCCCTTTTTTCTGTAGAGGTTTGGTTTGCCACCTGGCTTCCTGGCAACCCATTTGCTGTTAGTTTTAATAGTTTTAACAAACACCTTAGTGGTGCAGCTTGGACACATCTTCAGTGATGAACCCAGGGTAACGGGGTGTTTCGGGTCTTGGATCATCAGACACCCTCACCTGGGCGACCCAGCCGGGGCTGATCAGACCCCGACTTGTGTCCAAGCAGCGCACTAAACCATTTATCGCCCTTCTTGATCCAAAGCCACCTAGAGGCTTTCTCAGCTGCCTCACAGATGTTCTTGGTGGCTTTCCTCTCTTGAGCCCCCCTGATTCCAAGGAGCCTGAGCGCCCGATGCAGGCTCTGTCCTGGGAGTCCTCTGCAACCAACCTCAATGGGCTCACAGCGGGCCCTCCACCCATTAAGCCTGCAGTCCTCCACTAGTTCCAGGTATTTAGCCTTCTTCCTCTCATAGGCTACCTCGATCCGGTCTTCCCAGGGTATTGTCAGTTCCAGTAACACTACCTGCTTCGAACTCTCTGATGTTAAGACCATGTCCGGCCTGAGTGTTGTGCTGGTGATGTGCTCTGGAAACTTCAATTGCCTCCCCAGGTCCACCTTCAACTGCCAGTCTCCCGCTGAGGATAGAAGACCACCTGGGACCTTTGGCTGTGACTGTGGTTTCTCCCCAGCCCTAACGAATGTGATGTTATGCCTTGCTGGAGGCTGGTGCTTGCTTTGCTGGATCCCAGCACAGATGATGTCAGCTACTGCCTTCAGCACCTGGTCATGGCGCCACCTGTACCTCCCCTCTCCCAGTGCTTTCGGGCAGCAGCTCAGTATGTGCTCCAGTGTTCCTCTAGCGGGGCAGAGTGGACATGATGGTGTTTCTGCCAGACCCCAGCAGTGCAGGTTAGATGGACTCGGGAGGACATCATACACTGACTGGATCAGGAACTTGAGTCTTGCTGGCTCTGACCTCCAAAGTTCTGACCAGGTGATTTTCCGAGTCAGTGCATGGTCCCAATTGGTCCAAGCTCTTTGCTGGCGCATGGCCACAGTCTTGCTGTGCCGCTCCTCCTCCACCTCTGCTCGGACCTCACCCTGGATCATCTGCCGCTTGTCTCTCCCCTGTGCTCTGTCGTAGCGTGGTGTTTTATGGCAGCCGAGTCCCGCTCGCCCAACCGCCACAGAGCCTAGTAGTGCACCATGCCGCAACCTTGCCTCTGCCAGCTGGACTGCCTCCTGCGCTCGCCACTTCCTCCCAGTCCTGACCTCTATGCCTGCAGAGGAGACTCTGGTGTCGGAGGAGTCTCTGTACAGTAACACTTCCCTGGCTCTTGTTACTTTGAACTCCTCTGTCAGACTTGAGAATGGGAGCTGCAGTTTGTTGGTGTGCCCATAAAGGGCAATGCAGCTCAGACTCTTCGGCAGGCCCAGCCATCTGCGCAGGAACTGGCTGATGTTTCGCTCTAAGGCCTCCACTGTTGTAACTGGGACCTGGTACACATCAGTAGTGGCCACAGAAGCCTTGGCAGGATGCCATGCTGATATATCCAGGCTTTAAACTTCCCTGGGAGGCCTGATCTGTCCACCGCAGTGAGCCAGGTCTTCAGCTCTGAGTGCATAGCTTGGATCGCTGCTGTGTCTCTCAGAGAAGCATCAAAGATCTTCCCCAAGCTTTTCACCGGCTTCTCTGTCAGAGATGGGATTTGAAGACCGTTCATGTGGAAGCGGAACTTGTCCTCCACTTTCCCCTTCTTCAGCACAAGGGACCTGCACTTGGCTGGCTTGAATGTCATTCTCGCCCAAGATGTTAGCCGTTCCAGACCTTTAAGGAGCCAGCGGCACCCTGGCACTGATGTTGCTGTGACTGTTAGGTCATCCATAAAGGCTCTGATTGGCGGTTGGCGAATGCCAGATCTGGAGAGAGGTCCTCTGCATTCCACTTCTGCTGCCTTGACAAGCATGGTCATTGCCAGAGCAAACAGCGTCACTGATATGGTACAACCAGTGACGATGCCTTTTTCTAGACGGTGCCATGCTGACGTTATTGATCCAGAGGTGAATCTCATGCTAAAACTGTTGTAATAGTCTTGTATGAGATCTGTGATCTTCTGCGGGACATGGTGCATAGTCAGAGCTTTTGTCACCAGCTTGTGAGGAATGGATCCGTAGGCATTTGCCAGGTCGAGCCAGATGACTGACAAATCTCCTCGGTTTTGTCTCACCTCTCGGATCAGCTGGGTAACAACTCCAGTGTGTTCAATGCAGCCTGGAAAGCCTGGAACTCCCCCTTTCTGCACGCTGGTGTCGATGTATGAATTCTTCAGGAGAAACTCTGTCATGCGGTTGGCAAGGATCTTGAAAAAGATCTTGCCCTCTACACTGAGCAGTGAGATGGTTCGGAACTGCGAGATGTCACTTGCGTTTTCCTCCTTCGGTATCCAGACACCTTCGGCATGCCTCCACTGCTTGGCTACCCTGCCTCTTCGCCATACTGTCCTGATGATCCTCCACAGCCTCTGCAGTAGTCTCGGGCAGCGCTTGTAAACTTTGTATGGCACGCCACTCGGCCCTGGTGCTGCACTGGTTCGTGCAGCCCTGACTGTGTTCCTGACCTCTGCCAGTGTTGGCTCTTTGATGTTGAATTGGCTGGAGGGTGGGGGTGGTGTAATTAGCTCTCTGCAGGGGCCAAGGTCTTCTTCCCTTTGCCTGTCGCTGTAGGTTTCTGAGAGATGGCGGTTGATGCCGTCTTCTGGGCACATAAGGGTCCCACTCCGCTTTTGCCCTAGCAGCTTCTTCGTAAACCCGAAAGAGTCAGCTATGAAAGCAGTGCGCTTGCGGGCCCTCTCTCTACCCTTCCTCCTGTGCCACTCAGCGCGACGTAGGGAAATGAGCTTCTTCCTGAGGATGGCTCGGAGCTCAGCCAGGGCGGGCCTTTCTTCCTCGCTGGCCTTCTTGAATTGCTTTTTCAGGGTCTTCAGGTCTCTCCTGAGTGCAGTGATCTTGTTCTCTCGCCGGTTTGGTCTTGCTGTTGTCTTAGCCTTTGGCTGTTTGATCCCAAATCGCTCAGCACCGATGCAGATGATGAAGGTGCACATCGTTTGAAGCTGCTGGTCCACTCCCCCCTTTGATGACGCTTCCAGAGCGGCATCTGCATCTTCATCGAACTGGCGCCACTCAGTCTCCTTATGTGCAGCTGGCCACAAGACCCTGCGATGTTCGGTTGGATTGCTGGGTGGAGCGCACTGAGCTTGGAGGTTCTGGACACTGTGGGTTGACTCCCGGTCCGGCTCCTCCTTCGTCTCACCAGAGGCCGTGCTATGCACTGCCTCTGTGCGTTGTTCAGCTTGCTTCCTCCTCGAGCAGCCCATCTTGGTCTGATGGATCTTCGGACCTTTGAGATTCTTGCAGCTCTTGCCACACATACAGGTTACTCTTGTTGTCGGTAATCCATTGCTCATATTCCTTGCCAGTAAATCCATCCGTGTGGGGTGCTCATCCTCCCCCCCTCTCGGGCACCCCTGGGGGTATCTTTCATTAGGGCTTTCTGTAGCTTAGTTGGGTGCTCCCTCACGGGAGCTGCAGCTCGGGGTGCTAACCCTTGCTGCCCCTGGTGCCGTCTCTCCGAGCTGTCCACTGTCTCTCCAGTTGTCACTACACTATTCGTAGTCGTCATCCAGCCTTTCCTGGAAGTCACTGGCTATGCCAGATGTAGATAGTTTTAACAAACACCTTAGTGGTGCAGCTTGGACACATCTTCAGTGATGAACCCAGGGTCACGGGGTGTTTCGGGTCTTGGATCATCAGACACCCTCACCTGGGCGACCCAGCCGGGGCTGATCAGACCCCGACTTGTGTCCAAGCAGCGCACTAAACCATTTATCGCCCTTCTTGATCCAAAGCCAACTTGCCGGTTGAAGCTTGGCATGCAGACGGGAGCATGTGTTGATCACTCAGGCCTGTTTCAGTTTGACTGAGGTGTAAACGCTGAGGAGAAAAATCAACCCCCAACCACATAATTTAGGTATGTCAGACCAACTAGGAGAAGTTTGATAAAGTGTGATTCAGTCATGTTTGAGTGTATCTTAGATATAGGACTACAGCAATAATTGATTTTTTAAAAAGCAAGTATGGTAAACCTTCTTAACCAAGTTGAAAGAATTGTGAATGCTTGGTGCTCAGTGTTTTGAATTATTTAAACCCCTTTCACCTAACCTCACTGGTTATTTCATGCCTTTTTTTCCCCTTTAAATGCTGAGGGGGGCTTTTCAGAGATTTTTTGATGGATTCATCTTTTCTGGTTCTCCCTCATTCTTCGCACACTTTAAACAGAATGGCAATTTAAAGGATGGACTCAACTTGTTTGGTGTGTTTGGTGTTTGTGAGGCTCCAAAAATCAATATTTCACATGACACATATTCAGACTGTTGATGGCATGTGATCTTTGAATGTATATTGTGTACGAAACCAGAAAATCCATTCCCGACTTTTTGTGTTCCTGTGTCATCACACCCTGTCAAATCCCCCTGTTACTGACACCTTGACACTTTCACCGATGGCACTGTCGAAGGTTTGATCAATTAGTACAAAGCAAAACATCTGAGAAAAACATCCTCTCAAGGTTTGTAAAGTTGGGCCATAAAGGTTTGCTCCTGATTTGTACTTGTCAAATCTGGATTGCTACACAATGGCTCAAACACTTAGAATACTATCAGCCAAATGTATTTGCTGTGACATGATTGCTGAAAAAAGGAAAGCTAGTACTCCACTGATGAAGTGAAGAATGAGACTGACAGGCACTCAGTTCTAGTGTGAGAGTCATTCTGTGTTTTCTGAAAATAAAGAATGGTTCAAAATACGTTCAGCAGCTTGAATAAGCAGATATTGGCTGTGTTTATTTGATAATGTTCCTTTGCAGTACACTACGTAAGATTTGCTTAATCACTTTCTGGGTAAAAGCACATCAGGAATCTGAGGCTTCCTTTCCAATACACCAAGCCTCCTGAAGCAGCAGTAATGCTCTTGTATTATACCTTTAATGACAACCAACCAGGTCAGAACACTCTCATTCATCATGGATTTATTTTGAAGACTAACTGCAGAATACAGTTCGCACTGCCTCTTTGCCAAGAACTGGGCTGCATTTTCTCTTTAACTTGCATATTATAGTATTGAAGCTTAGCTGGAGATTGCACAAAAGGAGTGTTGGCAGGGGTATGTATTTGTCTGCATGTAGGACAATGTGTCTCATCACAAACAAACACATTAGCCAATTGTCCCAGTTTTAAGGATGAGACACATTTATAGCAAACTGGAAGCATTGTTTCTTCCACCTAAGCTCCTCATCCACACGCCATATTCTAGACTTGATGAGGAGAAAATTAACAAATGAGCTGTCAGGATGCCATAATAGGATTTCAAGATGATGTCTGTTTTGCATCTGGAGACATCCATTCAAAGCACACCTTGACATTTGCTCTTCAGAAACACGACAGAGGATAAACAACTTTCTTCCCTGATTATATCTGACAACATTAATGTGTTTGCAGCAAAGATGGCAGGATTGACTCTTGGCTGGTTGTCACTCAAAATGCATTACAGGACGTCCGTGAAAGGTAGAGCCTCACTAACAACCCCCTGCAGTGCTGGATCAGTGGGGAACAATATGCTTCAACAGTAGATCCCATTCATGGAAGTAGAAAGCCGCAGCACTCCCTACTACCGAGTATGCTGTGGATGTTTTGGTCATCTGAAATTCCATAAACTCTTAACTGTTTGCTGCAACTTCTTTACTTACAACCTCTCTGACTGACAGGCACCAAAAAAATGTGATGCTGTGTAGATTCTCCAAACCCCTTCAAACAAAATCTGTGTTTTCCTAGATGAACACTGCATTCCCTAATGAGTTGCATTACCATAAAATGGTGAATTGGAGTCCAACAAAGAAGTAGATTGAGCAAAGTAGTAAAAGAAGTTAAAGATTTTGATTTAGAAGGAACAATTTAATGAAAGTAGGGTTATTAATTGACATGACCCAAGCAATACATTTTGCTAGAACGAAACCATGAATTTACAATCACAAATGTACAAGAAGTAAGACATAAATTTACAATAAAGAAGTGATAAATTGACAGGAAAAAGTGATTAAGTTAAATATTATGTATGTACATTCATAAAAATGTAGTGAAATGTTCATGAGAATTATTGAGATTTGATTTGATAAGATTAGTAAATGAATATAGTACATTTTTAAGGGTTGAGTTTCAAATTTGTGAAATTAAAGCCACACTTTAACAAGAATAAAATAGCCATGTGAAATTATTAATTGTAAGGTAAGAATGACAAACCTTTGTAAACTCTGAGTCATTACTTTTTTTGTACAACAGGAAATTCAGGCAGACCACAGGCACTAAAACCTGGTCAAAGTATTAAAACAATTTTGGAGCTGGAAGTCTAATTCTACAGAGTATGAAGAGGCATCTACACACGTGGACAAAATTGTTGGTACCCCTCAGTTAAAGAAGGAAAAACCCACAATTCTCACTGAAATCACTTGAAACCTACAAAAGTAACAATAAATAAAAATTTATTGAAAATTAAATAATCAAAATCAGCCATTACGTTTGAAATGTTGATTAACATAATTATTTAAAAAAAACAAACTAATGAAATAGGGCTGGACAAAAATGATGGTACCTCTATAAAAGATTGAAAACTATTTGACCAGAGTGACATGATTAACTCAGGTGTGTCCTTTAATTGACATCACAGGTGTTTCCAAACTCATAATCAGTCAGTCTGCCTATTTAAAGGGAGACAAGTAGTCACTCTGCTGTTTGGTGAAAAGGTGTGTACCACACTGAACATGGACAACAGAAAGCGAAGGAGAGAATTGTCCCAGGACATCCGAAAAAAAATTATAGACAAACATCTTAAAGGTGCAGGCTATAAGACCATCTCTAAACAGCTTGAAGTTCCTGTGACAACAGTGGCTCATATTATTCAGAAGTTCAAGACCCACGGGACAGTAGCCAACCTCCCTGGACGTGGCCGCAAGAGGAAAATTGATGACAGATTGAAGAGACAGATCGTTCGAACTGTATCCAAAGAGCCCAGGACAACCTCCAAAGAAATTAAAGGTGAACTCCAAGGCCAAGGTACATCAGTGTCAGATCACACCATTCGTCGTTGTTTGAGCCAAAGTGGACTTCATGGGAGACGACCAAGGAGGACACCACTGCTGAAAAAAAATCATAAAAAAGCGAGACTGGAATTTGCAAAAATGCATGTTGACAAGCCACAAAGCTTCTGGGAGAATGTCCTTTGGACAGATGAGACCAAACTGGAGCTTTTTGGTAAGGCACATCAACTCTATGTTCATAGACTCAAAAACCAAGCATACGAAGAAAAGAACACTGTCCCTACGGTGAAACATGGAGGAGGCTCAGCAATGTTTTGGGGCTGCTTTGCTGCATCTGGCACAGGGTGTCTTGAATGTGTGCAAGGTAAAATGAAATCTGACGACTATCAAGGCATTCTGGAGAGAAATGTGCTGCCTAGTGTCAGAAAGCTTGGTCTCAGTCGCAGGTCATGGGTCTTCCAACAGGACAACGATCCAAAACACACAGCCAAAAACACCCAAGAATGGCTGAGAGAAAAGCGTTGGACTATTCTAAAGTGGCCTTCCATGAGCCCAGATCTGAATCCCATTGAACATCTGTGGAAGGAGCTGAAACATGCCATTTGGAGAAGACACCCATCAAACCTGAGACAACTGGAGCAGTTTGCTCATGAGGAGTGGGCCAAAATACCTGTTGACAGCTGCAGAACGCTCATTGACAAATACAGAAATCGTTTAATTGCAGTGATTGCCTCAAAAGGTTGTGCAACAAAATATTAAGTTATGGGTACCATCATTTTTGTCCAGCCCTATTTCATTAGTTTGTTTTTTTTAAATAATTATGTTAATCAACAATTCAAAAGTAATGGCTGATTTTGATTATTTAATTTTCAATAAATTTTTATTTGTTACTTTTGTAGGTTTCAAGTGATTTCAGTGAGAATTGTAGGTTTTTCCTTCTTTAACTGAGGGGTACCAACAATTTTGTCCACGTGTGTATATGAGAGTGACACTATTCCAAGATCAGACAAAACAAGTAGAGGTCAACAGAACCCCCTTTTCCCTGGTGAGGCTTGTTCCAACTGGAACCTTGCTTCTTTTTCTCTGCTTGAATGAAAAACACATACTATTAGTGTGATGGCCTCCTGGTCTCCCCTGTGATGGCCTCTAGAGGTCATCCTGCTGCCTAGTCTTTCCTGGCCCTGTCTGCCAGAGTTGGAGGAGCTCATTAGGGAGATGACTGACACCTGGCTGGGTGTGGCAGTAGGCTTAATGGCTCAGCCAGGTCAGTCAGTCTCTCTCTGATCTCCATGCTGGACAGACCTCTGTCAACAGGTCCCTAGTTATTTGGTTTTTTGAGCCATTGGGCAGTGGGAGAACTTTTGTTTTTGGGTAGTTGGTTGTTTTGGAGTTTGTATATGTTCTTATACACATACACACACACACACACACACACACACACGCACACGCACACGCACACACACACACACACAGATCCAGACCCATGCACACCACCATATATACATGCATACACGCAGCCACACTCTACAACCAGTGTCTTTTTTTTTAGTTTCAGTAATAAATTAGTTTCTTAAAACGATTCCATGTGTGATGTCTTTTTGTTATGTTCCCTGAGCCAGGAGCGTGACAATTAGCAAGCACTTCATAAAACCCCACTTCAAACAAAAAGTGATGAATGAGATTTAAAAAAATTCTTCTGTGACTATTGATACAGACTTTGACTACCTTCAAACCACTCTTGGAAGATTGAACTGTTAATGAAACACACAAAAAAAGCACTGATGTCTCTTTAAACCACTTAATTACAGATAACAATCATGGTTGAAAAGAGTGATACTTGTAGATTGTTTTCATGTCCGTGACCACAGTGGGAGAGTGGGGAAAAAAAGATGTACAGCGCACAGGCTGAAAGAGCTTTTCATTACTTTTTCAACAGACCATGGGGGATTTGTTTGACTGATAGTATAAAGCAGGATGAGTTTCTTTTAATTAGAAGACACTACTTACGTGAAAAGTGCAGCAAAAAGATACTGTGTGCCACTCTGTCCACGGGAGTTAAAAGTTCCTTGCAGCAGCACAAGAGCTTTTAAGATGAATTTCTCACAAACTTTTGCAGAGGAACACAGAGGAACATTTTTTAAGTAAAGGGTAGTGTGAAATAGTCATATAGCAACATTGTTTTAAAGGCAAAATTTTTCATTCTGATAACTGGGCAGTTGCCAGGCCCTTTGACTTTTCCTCTTCCCCTCATCAATGTGCCCACCCTACCAGCTTTATCTGTGGCCTCCTCCTCACCTGGATATTATGGCCCAATCCCAAACCGGCCCCTAAACACTCGCCCTACACACTCTCCCTCCGTTTGAGCGTCCCCATGGGGGCTCCGCCATATTGAAGGCCGTCCCAAACCACAGAGTGAGGAGGGCGAATAGTCTGTTCAGCCCTCAAATAGTGAGTCTGCACCGATGCTCCCTCACGCTGGGATTTGCAGGTTGTGCACTGGCAAAAATAGAGGAGAAGGAAACAACATGCAAATATAAGTTCCATATGTGTCTACCTTTGTCTCACTGACAAAAAATAACAAAAGACTTGGTTTGGAAAGATCAAATGAAACTCCGAAATCATACTCTGTGCTGACATTTGTTTTGATTGTGCAGGCACATGTCAAATAGTAAAGGGGTTCAAAGATGTGTGGAATCACTAACAATCAGAAGTATAATTTACCTCCTGTAACTGTAATAGTTACTGAATTTATGATTTTACTGGGAGGATGAAGAAACAAGGCAGCCGCAGTGGCTCAGAACTGTACATTATGTCTGTTTATTTATAAAGAAAATAAACACTGCCTTGCACAGGACACATCTTTGTGTTGCTATGGCGATGAATCTTTCCGTTTTCTGGTGGAGTGAGGAGGGCATCCTATACCCGCCCGTCTTGTTTATACCCTCCCATTTTAATGGAGGCTCCACAGCTGCGAGTGTAACTTAATTACGAGTGACACTCGGTAGTGAAGGCCGAGTGTGTAGGGGTCAATTTGGGATTGGGCCTTTATCCCTCCATCAAAAAAGGTCAACTCATATAATACAAGGAGAAGAAATGATTCAACATGCAGTTGTGATCTCTTCCCAATATTATACTTCATGTTTACATTGGGACAGGGGATTGAGTATTACTTGATTTAGGTTGATGGGAATCAAACAGACTCCTTCAGGATTTAGCTCCTACAAAACATGTTGCTCTGTTGTATATTGTGTGTGTTTAGTGTTCTTTCTGTTTTTGTAAGGCTAAATGGAAAAAAGCAAATGAAGCTGTGATACAATAATTGAGAGCACTGTGAGGTAAAAAAAGGGAAAAAAGACCATTACAGAGAGAAAGGAGGCCAGTTGTCTGGCAAGGTCCATCTAATTTTATGTAGTACACAAATGGGAACAGAGGTGTTCCAATAACCCAGCATCTTCGGCGTGTTTGAAGTGGCTGTTTGACTTGCAAATCAATCTCAAGCATTATACATGCAAACACATACAATTACAATGTCTCATGGCTTTGGTTTGGCTTCACATCCTACTTTACCTACATATAAAATAAAGGACAGAGAAAAAAGAATCAGCTTTTTTCCCTCTCTCACTGTTCTCTCTTACCTGGAGGAGAAATACGACTCAAAGCTTCAGATGAAAACATGGTTCCACACAGCTCATTTGAGTTGCTGAGTGTAGCTTGAACAGCACAGTTGAGGTAACTTTTGAAGTCTGGTAACTTTTGGCACAGTTTCCAAAAAAAGCTACCCAGCTAAAAGTACCTGAGCCCATCCAGTTCATCATGGAGCGTCTGGAGACACCTACTTTTTAACATTACAGATGAATCACAGGACCACTCAAACAACAGTGCTTGCATTTATTTTCCACAATTTCAGTCAGATGTTGCTATGCATCCCCATGAGTACATAAATAAAGGCTTAGCAGATCATCACTGTTTAAGAATTAAATTCAATGAATTGTTTACCTGCTGCAACAGGACAGGTGCTCCTCTTCCTACTGTTCACTCTTTTGTCAGTCAGATTGCTCCAACAAAGTGCACATACTGCAACACTGCATAATACGAATGACTTTATTACAAATATTATCTGTGTTGTACAAACCATGTTATTGGTTTACTAATATAATATAAAAATAGACAGCAACATAAACAGTTCAAAGTAGTAATCTTTATTATAATCTATATCTATATAGTAATTGATTTGCTTGTACAAAGGTTTCTCTATAGGTTTTTAATGTTATTGCTAAATAGGAAAAGGCTGACAGCTTGTGTCAACTTTAACCAAAAATATGACCTAATCCCTCTTCTGATTATTTTTGTCTGTAGCCTGTGTGTCCGGGTGTTGCAAATTGACAAGAAGTGAGATCTCAGTCCAAGGGTGTTTTTATTGGTCAGAAATGTGATTATCAGGGCAAATGCACCGAGGCACTAAGGTCCCCCATACTTTTGTACAGGGCCTTAGTGCCTTGGGGCGAAAGGAAGATTTTTGATTCCTTGCTAGTCCTACAGCTTAAAGAGCTGTATCCAATGCTCAAATAAACAAAGGGAATACTTAAGCCTTGGTTACTGTTAATTTTACATGTCAGAATCCATGGATAAGGTCCTGTCTCCTCTGTACAGCACCTTTGTGAAGTCTCTCCTTGTTATTGTTCTCCGGGCATCGGGTCCTCACGTTGCACCGGCACAGCCAACGGCACTCCATTCACCAGTACAACATTGTGCAAAACTGTACTGGCCCAAATGATGTCCCACACCCTTTCAGAAGTGTACAACAACGTCCCCGCTGCTGGGCCAAGACAGAGATACTTGCCTTTTAGGAGTCAAACCCAGCGCTCCACAGTGGCACGTGTGCGCGCAATGTTAAAACAGCACTCCTGGGGCCTCATGTATCAACACTTGCGTGGAACTCATACCAGAAACGAGCGCACGCAAGGTCCGTCACGTAAAAAAAAATCTGTATGTATCAATGTGTGCGGGCGCCGAAATCCACGTGTGTTTCCTTGATAAATCCCAATCAGCGTGGAATTGAGCGCAGACGTCGGAGTGACTGGGCCCGTCCCCGTTACGCCCTCCTATAAATATGCAGATTTATTTAAATAGGGTCTCCCTGTCCTCGCACGCAGACAAAATGACAAGAAAAACTACATTTGCGGCGTGCGAGGTGGAGGTGCTGGTGGCGGAGGTGGAGGAGCGACAGCGTGTTTTGTTTGGCAGCCTGTCCAGTGGCATCAGTGCAAAACAAAAACGCTTGGAGTGGGAGAAAGTTTGCGAGAGGGTGAATGCGGTGGGTTCCGAGACACGCACCCCCGCGGAGATTAAAAAAAGTGGTCGGACCTCAAGGTGGAGGTCAAGCGGCGTACAGCTGCCCTCCGGAGGAGTACCGGCCAGACAGGTGGGGGTCCGGGGGAGGAGACCCTCACACCGTTTGAGCAGCGGGTGGTGGCGATTATTATTATAGTGTAAGTGGCGTGTCACACAAATGTCCACATGCTTTGTCATCCCACTGAGCAAAAGACGTATATTAGACGTCTAGTCTAAGTTTATACTTCATTTCAACGTCGGGATTCAGTCTATTTTTAGACGTGATTTATACTTCGCCCTTAACTTCATTTTTCGATAACTTTTTATGCAATAAACAACTGTAATGTGCATAACTGACCTCGAAATACTGGATTACATTACCTATGATACCGTGGAGAGAGATGTAAACGCAACAGATACACAGAAGCAGGAATTGAAATGAACTAATATTTTTATTGTGTCACAGAAATTAATGTGTCGGCCGTGTCGCCGGCTTGCGGAACCCTGGCCCGCGGCAGCCCGTCCGCCGGCTCGGAGTCGTCGGCCAGGACCAGCGGCATTCGGGCCACCCCGGCCCCCGGCCCCAGCACCAGCATCAGCACCAGCGCGCCGACAAGCGGTGGATCGTCCACCAGCCGCGGCGCTTCCGCTGGACCACCCGGACGCAGTGGAAGGGTCCGCGCGGAGGGGGTCCTGCAATCGCAGGAAGAAATCATCAGGGGGATCGCGGGGATCAATGAGCGGCTGGACCGGCTCGTAAATTTCCTCGAGCGTCTGGTGGAGAAAATAAATTAATTTGGCTCATTGAACTGTGTATTCACTTCTTACCCATTCACACTGTGGCGATGAGATTCTCCCGCGCGAGGACGGCGGCCCGGCAGGGATCAGCTCGCATCCCTCCGTCTGCTGCTGGTTCGTCATGTGGGGCGACATGCTGCCCGGCCACGGGGATGTGGTGCACGCTTGTCACATAGTGAGTCACCAAACACCGCCACACAGCGTTGCCAAAGTGCGAATCACAGTCAACGCAAATATCCAGCTCAACGCCAATTTCTACACCACCTCCTGACTTTGCGTTGATTAGCGCTGGAACCGACGCTCGTTTCGCGATGATAAATCTGGACGTGTGCGCCGATTTTGGCGTACGCAAGGTTTTCTTGCGCTGCAAGCTTTGATACATGAGGCCCCTGCTCTGTGGCATTGTTTCTGGGCAGAGTTATCGGATAGGCCTATTCACCAAGGACAAAACAAATTTATTTTATTTTATTTTATTTTATTTAGGTTTGTTTATCAATTATTTCAAGACAGACATTTGCTGCACCGCAGATCCACACGGACTCAAATTTGCATACACGATGTCAGACCTGTCGTGAGATTTGGTTGTAGCATACGTTCACGTGCAGATTGATAAATGCCGATCCTCACGTCAAAATTGTCATACGCAAGGTGTACGCAAGTTTTCTGCCGTACGCAAGCTTGATAAATGAGGGCCACTATGTTTACTTTGAAGAGGCAGAGAGCGGGAGCTGAGCATGAGTCTGCAATGTTGATTTCTGTTAAATCTATCGATAAAAGTTAGAAGTGAAACTTCCTCCAGCATCTGTTTGTGTACTCGGCTGCAACATCCGCCGCAAGACAGAGTGGGCATGCTCAGAGGGATTTTCCTGTTCCGTGCCACGTTCATGTTCATCTCATATTCTGAATGGTGATCAGGATGTTTGGAAATCAGGTTATAAATTAAACCTGACGAGAAGAAACTCTTTGCAGATGCACCCCCTCTTGAAATAAAGCGACCTAGATGAATCTTCAAAAAAAAAAAAAAGGTTGCAATTTGTTATTATGGTGCCATAAATGCATGGTTAAAAAACGTGTTTTTAATAGAAGTGTATTGTCCATTTTGCAGACAAAGTAGGGTGAATGGAGCTAAAATGCGGCGACCATAGACTGTATCTACTATGGACAACTTGGTTCTGCCTCCCGCCTGTATATGGATTTGAAGCCAAATAGCTCTCGGTATTTACAGGATTTTTCTTCTTTTACTTTTTCTTACTTTTAAAAACGGAGCTTCACAGAAAAAAAAGGGGACAAACAAGTCTTACTGTAACTACATGTCAACACCCCAAGCAGGGGGGAAAAAATTTTAAGTTCTGTGTAATAAAATTCTTAAGTTTGTCCACAGCTCCATAAGCTTAGCAGGTTCACACTGAACATTTAAATTGATCATTTTATGTTATTTTGTTCTCAACACATTTCAGAATGTAATGAATAAAGATTTTCAACCTTAATATTTCATTTATTGAGATCTAGGATGTGTTATTTTAGTGTTCACTTAATCAAAGCACCTAAATCCATAAAGTCAACTACAGATTCTTGTGAGAGCACATAACTTAATGGGTAACATTCGGATAGATACAAAAAAGAAGACTGATTTATTTCCTGCAATTCAACATTTTTTTTTTAAATGATAATAATAATAATAATAATAATAATAATAATAATAATAATAATAATAATAAGTGGTCATACTGTTGAAACGCTGCATGTACTAATTTTGTCTTATAGGCCTGCCACTATAACACACATTTTCATGGAGTTGTAATTGCAACAAAATACTGTTTATGCAATCATGAGAAGCTTAAGCCTATCATGCATTCTCATTATAATGAACGGTAACAAAGAGATGTCAGTGTGATATGTTGATAAAACTTTATATCCTGTCATATACCTGGATGATCTGTCTTAGATATCAAAGTATTTCTTTACATCCAATGTGTACTATAAGGCTTAAGACTGCAGTTTTGCTTTACAGGATGTAAACTAATAGTTTTCATGTGTCCATTGTGGACACACTGTATATGTTCGACAAGTCCTTGAATTCAGAACACTCATCACTCTCCCTTTGAAGGACCAGTCATTTGAGCTCTGTCTGATCTGAAACACACCTCAAAAAATAAAAGACAAAAACTCTGGATCACAGAACTAAGGGCCTGATCTACTAAAGGTTTGAATGTTTAAAAACATGCAACACTGCATTTTCCTGCGTCTGGATCATTCCAGCGCACTATTAAATGCCATGCAAATATTGCACAGTGGGAATGCTCTTTTAACACTATCTACAAATTCTTAATAGCACTTTGCACTTCTATAGCAATTTGCACTTTATTAGTGAACTTTGCACTTTGCATATTTGCACAGGTCATAATGAACATTGTTGATCAAGTAATTATTAGCTGAATTTGTACAAGTAACCCATTATTAATGTGTGGTTGTTTGGCAGGGGCTGGCTCCGGAGTGCTGATTTACCTGTAAGAGAGTTCTGCGATACTTTCTAATAACATTAATTATTAAAAAACAAAGTGTTTTAGAAAATTTGTGGAGGTAACATAGGTGTGCCTGACAGTATGGAAAGTGTGTGCAAGAGCTAAAGTGTTAGGGTGAATTGGTGTGATCACTCACCTGTTTAGGTTGTGTCCACTCCAGGGTGTTCCTGTCTAAATAGTCCGGGGGGCTAGCATATACCCAGCTACTTTCTGCTGTATCTACAGGAAGTGATGCTGCATACTCACCCATTGCTGTTTTGAATGATCATACTCTTTAGGGCCCGAGCCTAGCTGCAAAGCAGCGGCGAGAGCCCTATTGTAATTTGAAAGGTTCTTCTTTCTTCTTTCTTATTATTAGGGCCCGAGCCAGCTGCAACGCAGCCGGGCGTAGGCCCTCTTGTTTTCCGATGGGTTCTTCTTTGTTTCTTTCTTAGGGCCCGAGCGTAGCTGCTAAGCAGCTGCGCTCGGGCCCTCTTGTTCCTTGATGGGTTCTTCTTTATTATTTTTCCTCCGCTTTAAACTGGAAAATGGCCCACTTCCCATTGGCGAAAACTCATGAAATTTGGCAGGAAGACTGGGCCTGGTGAAAAATTTGATAGTCTGAAGTCACCCAAACAATAAAATGCAAAATGGCTCCATAGTGCCCCCTAAGGTGAAAATTCACCTTACGCCTGTACGCTTTGTCAAAATGACACAAAATTTGACACACACGTGTATCTCAATAAGATCTACAAAAAAGTCAGCGTGGGCGTATCTGTCAAATGTACGGTTAAAGGGCTATTTCGCATTTTTTGCCGATTTGCACACATTGGAATGTGGCTAACTCCTCCTAAGGCTTTCGTCCCACCGGCACCAAATTTGCTCAGGCCAATCTACAACTCATGGCCATTCAAAGTTATACAAATCATGACGCTGCACTCCACGGTTTACGTTCTAGGGGGCGCTAAAGATGACCCAAATATCCACATTTTTTAAAGTCTTTTTATTTTTGTCCTCACAGGCCTTCAAGTTTTCTAGGATGAGGCAATGTCCAGCCATCACCACATTTGTGAAGGAATTTTTTCACCCCAAAAGAGGCCCCCCCCATGGCAGGAGAAAAAGTCCAGTTTTTCCTGCCTGTTGCTCAATGGCTCAAATGCATCACTCTTTGGGCAGAACCGTAAGGATGAGCCACTTGCCATTTGGATATATTCTAGCTGTGTTTGTGCCCTCACTCATGGTCCAGAGTTTTTTTAAATAGGACATGTAGTTTGTCTGCAGCGAGCGTTTTGGTAGAAACTGCGCCTCCCATTCATTATAATGGGAAATGACCACAGACAAGTGTGCACACCATCTTTGGACCTTGAGTGTGACGCGATCGGGATGGGATGGCGGACGCGCTGGGGGCGGCGCAACACGGCTCGGGCCCACCAGTGCCCCAACGGGGCCCTAGTTAGGCCCGAGCGTAGCTGCTAAGCAGCTGCGAGAGCCCTCTTGTTCCTGATGGATTCTTCTTTAGGGCCCGAGCGTAGCTGCTAAGCAGCTGCGAGAGCCCTCTTGTTCCTGATGGATTCTTCTTTTTAGGGCCCGAGCGTAGCTGCTAAGCAGCTGCGAGAGCCCTATTATTCCCCAAGTGGTTTTTCTTTGTTTCTTTAGGGCCCGAGCGTAGCTGCTAAGCAGCTGCGAGAGCCCAATTATTCCCCAAGTGGTTTTTCTTTGTTTCTTTCTTTCTTTCTTTCTTCTTTTTCCTCCCCTTTGAACTGGAAAATGGCCCACTTCCCACTGGCGAAAACTCATGAAATTTGGCAGGACGACCGGGCCTGGTGAAAAATTCGATATTCTGAAGTCGCCCAAACAATAAAATGCAAAATGGCTCCATAGCGCCCCCTAAGGTGGAAATTCACACTATTGACTGTCACGCCTGTACGCTTTGTCATATTGACACAAAAATTGACACACATATGTATCTCAATAAGATCTACAAAAAAGTCAGTGCGGCCGTATCTGTCAAAATTACGGTTAAAGGGTTATTTCGCATTTTTTGCCGATCCGCACACATTGGAATTTCGCTAACTCCTCCGAAGGCTTTCGTTCCACCGGCACCACATTTGCTCAGGCCAATCTACACCCCGTGGCCATTAAAAGTTATCAAAATCATGACGCTGCACCCCAAGGTTTAGGTTCTAGGGGGCGCCAAAGATAACACTAAAATCCACATATTTAAAAGTCTTATAACTTTTTATTTTTGTCCTCACTGGCCTCCAAGTTTTCTAGGATGATGCAATGTCCAGCCATCAACACATTTGTGAAGGAATTTTTACTCCCCAAAAGAGCGCCCCCCCATGGCAGGAGAAAAAAGTCCATTTTTTCTTGTCCCCTAAGGTGAAAATACACATTGTTGAGTGTCACGCCTATACGCTTTGTCAAAATGACACAAAAATTGACACACACATGTAACTCAATAAGATCTACGAAAAAGTCAAAGCGCGCGTATCTGTCAAATGTACGGTTAAAGGGTTATTTCGCATTTTTTGCCGATGCGCACACATTGGAATTTCGCTAACTCCTCCGAAGGCTTTTGTTCCACCGGCACCACATTTGCTCAGGCCAATCTACACCCCATGGCCATTAAAAGTTATTCAAATCATGATGCTGCACCCCATGGTTTAGGTTCTAGGGGGCGCCAAATATAACCCTAAAATCCACATATTTAAAAGTCTTATAACTTTTTATTTTTGTCCTCACTGGCCTCCAAGTTCTCTAGGATGGTGCAATGTCCAGCCATCAACACATTTGTGAAGGAATTTTTACTCCCCAAAAGAGCGCCCCCCCATGGCAGGAGAAAAAAGTCCATTTTTTCTTGTCCCCTAAGGTGAAAATACATATTGTTGAGTGCCACGCCTGTACGCTTTGTCATATTGACACAAAATTTGACAACCACGTGTGTCTCAATAACATCTACGAAAAAGTCAATGCACGCGTATCTGTAAAATGTACGGTTAAAGGGCTATTTTGCATTTTTTGCCGATTCGCACACATTGGAATGTGGCTAACTCCTCCTAAGGCTTTCGTCCCACTGACACCAAATTTGCTCAGGTCAATCTACACCCCATGGCCATTCAAAGTTGTAAAAATCATGACGCTGCACCCCACGATTTACGTTCTGGGGGGCGCCAAAGATGACCCAAATATCCACATTCTTAAAAGAATCCACACCCCCCCATCCCCCATCCCCCATGGCAGGAGAAACAGTCAAGTTTTTCCTGCCCATCACTCAATGGCTCAATCGCATCGCTCTCCCGGCAACACCGTAACGAGGAGCAACTTGCCGTTTGGATATATCCTAGCTGTGTTTGTGCCCTCACTCATGGTCCAGACTTTTTTCAAATAGGACATGTAGTTTGTCTGCAGCGAGTGTTTTGGTAGAAACTGCGCCTCCCATTCATTATAATGGGAAATGACCACAGACAAGTGCGCACACCATCTTTGGACCTT